GTGTGTTTAGTTCAGAAAAAAAATGAAATACAGATATGTACAAAAACTAATAAAACAAATAAATACTTCTATGACCTATACTCCAATTAAATAAATACTAAAATTTTTTTCCTCCAGATCTTTTTTAAAGATACGATCAGATAAAGTTGAAATCCTTTCTTCTTGAATCATAGTTCTTTCATTATCTTCTGAAAACACTCAGTCATGGATCCAAAATTTTCTACATACATTAACCAGAAAAATATGGGTTAGTATTCTGTATATTTATGCAAGTTATGTTAATGATACTGTATTTAATACTTTCCAGGTATTTTCCATTCAATATTGTTTTTGAATGGAAATAAAAAAAAGATTTTGAATGGCAGTCTCTTCAACTTGATTCATATAAATCTTAGTTACTCATTTAAGTACTGCTTATATATAGTTCATATAACGGTATCAGGTTTTTTATTCATTTCTGAAAAGATGAAAATTTGTTGCATCTTAGCTTGGACTGTTATAACAAAATATCACAAACAAGATGACTTAATCAACAACAGAAGTTTATTTCTTATGTTTCTGGAAGTGAAACTCCTGACATTGATGTTCTTTTACAAGGGTACTAATCCCATTCATGGGGGTTCCTCCATCACAGTCCAATTATCTCCCATAAGCCCCACCTCCAACTAATATAGATTTCAACATATGCATTTGAGGGGACATAAACTTTCAGTCTATCATATTCACCCTTAGCCCCCCCATAACTTGTGGTTTCTCATATGCTCAATACATTAATTCAACCCCATAGCCTCAAAAAAGTTTTAAGTAGTTCAAGCATCAGGTCTGAAGTCCACAGTCTCATCTAACTGTCATCAAAATCAGACATGAGTGAGACTCAAAGCACAATTATTGTGAGACAGAATTCCTCTCTAGCTATGACCCTGTAAAATCAAACAAGTTATGTGCTTTAAAAAATATAGTGGAGGACTAGGGAGTAGCTCAGTGGTATAGTTCTTGCCTGGTATGTACAAGGTTCTGGGTTCATTCAAAAAAAAATCACACACACACACACACACACACAACACACACACACACATACACACACACGCACACACACACACACATACACAGACATACACAGAGACACACACATACACACACACTCAGACACAGACACCCACACACTCACACACACAGTAGGATGATGTTCTCTTTCCAAAAGGAGTAAGAAAGAAGAAAGGAGTGATAGATTCCAAGCTAGTCCAAAATCTAGCAAGACAAACTCCATGAGATCTTTAGGTTGGAGAATAACAATTCTTGACTTGATGCTGTGCCCTTGAGGCCCACTGGGTGGAGATACACCTTTGGACCCATTGGGGTAGAAGATTAGACTCTGCAGCTCTGCCAGCTGGAGGACATTCCAACCTAGGGACTCTGCTGGGCACTGGTGAAGCCCACACAGATCTAGACAGTCCCACTTCTGTGGCTTTGGGTGAAAGTCATCTTGCCTGTTAAAAATAAGACAAAGACCTCCTGCTTTTGAAACCAAGGAAGTAACCCTAATGACTTCTGAATCACCTTTTGGGTATTCTTTGTCTTGGAAAATAGAGCCCCTCTGCAGTTGAATAGTCCTATGGTACTGTCCCATAAAATCAAAGAAGTCTGATAACCTGCCTTCCTTCCTTCCAGCCTCCTTCCCCTTCAGTTTAAAGTCGGCTTTCCTACTTAGGTAGCTCATTAAGTTTATGATTCACACCCTTAATAATCTCCTTATCAAGCCGCACTCCAGTGTTCTCTTAGGGACATGCCTTTTCCTTTTCTGCAATGTAAGCGGAGTATTTTCCAAATCTCTTTAAGTTCTAGTTCCTTTTTGCTTAATTATCCTGACTTCCAGTCATTCCTCTATTCTCACATCTTATATAAGCAGTCAGGGGGAAACAAGCCACTCTTTCGCACATTGCTTAGTACCCTCATCTAACTATCCTAGTTCATTGCACATAGGTTCTAACTCCCACAGCATGCTAGAACATGAATGCGATGTAGCCAGGTTTCCTAACATTTTATAACAAGGATTGCCTTTTCTACGTTGGAGAAAATAAGACAACAGTGTTCAAGAGGATGATAACAAATTCCTCATTTCCATCCAAGATCTCATCACAATGGCATTGACTGTCCATATTTCTACTAACATTCTGCACATAATTGTTTATAGATTCTCTAAGAAGATGGAAACTTTTTCTATAGCTCTTCCCTCTCTTTCTGGGTATCATCAAAATCACATCTAAAAGTGCTTTCATGTGAACCATGGATTCTTCTGGCATGTGCCTCAAAAGTCCACCAGCCTCTACACATTACCAAGTTTCAAAGCTGCTTCTACATTTTAAAGTTATTCAGAGGCACTTGTACACCCATGTTCATTGCAGCACTATTCACAATAGCCAAGTTATGGAAACAACCAAGATGCCCCACTACTGACGAATGGATTAAGAAAATGTGGTATCTATACACAATGGAATTTTACTCAGCTACCACCACCACCAACAGGTGTTGGTGAGGATGCGGGGGAAAAAGGAACCCTCTTACACTGCTGGTGGGAATGTAAACTAGTACAACCACTCTGGAAAAAAATTTGGAGGCTACTTAAAAAGCTAAACATTGATCTACCATTTGATCCAGCAATACCACTCTTGGGGATATACCCAAAAGACTGTTACTCCAGAGGCACCTGCACATCCATGTTTATTGCGGCACTATTCACAATAGCCAAGTTATGGAAACAGCCAAGATGCCCCACTACTGACGAATGGATCAAGAAAATGTGATATCTACACACAATGGAATTTTATGCAGCCATGAAGAAGAACGAAATGTTATCATTCGCTGGTAAATGGATGGAATTGGAGAACATCATTCTGAGTGAGGTTAGCCTGGCCCAAAAGACCAAAAATTGTATGTTCTTCCTCATATGTGGACATTAGATCAAGGGCAAACACAACAATGGGATTGGACTTTGATCACAAGATAAAAGCAAGAGCACACAAGGGAGGGGTGAGGATAGGTAAGACACCTAAAAAACTAGCTAGCATTTGTTGCCCTCAATGCAGAGAAACTAAAGCAGATACCTTAAAGCAACTGAGGCCAATAGGAGAAGGGGACCAGGAACTAGAGAAAAGGTTAGATCAAAAAGAATTAACCTAGAAGGTAACACACACGCACAGGAAATTAATGTGAGTCAATGCCCTGTATAGCTGTCCTTATCTCAACCAGCAAAAACCCTTGTTCCTTCCTATTATTGCTTATACTCTCTCTTCAACAAAATTAGAGATAAGGGCAAAATAGTTTCTGATGGGTAGCGAGGGGGTGGGGGAGAGAGGGAGGGGGCGGAGTGGGTGGTAAGGGAGGGGGTGGGGGCAGGGGGGAGAAATGACCCAAGTATTGTATGCACATATGAATAATAAAACAATAAAAATTTTTTAAAATATTTCTAGTGTATAAACAAGAAAGGAAAAATTTGGAAGACAAGGAAATGGACCAGAGCAGGGTCTCCCAGGAGAACCATACACTCTGAAGAGGACAAAAAGAAATCAGAAGTCTATTTAAAACCTGAAAAATGTGAAGAGTGGAGGTTTTGGGAGCTGCTATAATGTTTCAAAAGGCCATGAGTTAGAGTTGGTTCCTAGATGAGACTGGGGAGGTGGTGGAGTCTTTAAGAGGTCTAGTCTACAGTGGGTACTTCTGGTCTTTGGATCATGCCTTTGGAGAGAATAGTGGGACCTAGTTTCCTCACATTTTTACTTCCTGACCACAAGGTGAGCAGTTATTACTCTACCTCTCGCTCTTGCCATGATGTGCAACATCGCAGGCCCAAAAGCGAGTGCTCAACTGATCATGGACTGAGCTCCAAAATTATGAGCCAAAATGATTGTTTTCTCTTTAAAATTGATTGCATCTGGTCTTTGTTACAGTGAGGGGAAAAGTGACTGATACTTGCCCACAACACAAAAATGATAACTGTGTGACATGATGCATTTGTTAAAATTAGCTAGATTTAAACAATTCTATAACATATGTACTTGAAAACACCATATTGTACATGATAAAAGATACAATACTATCTGTCAAATCAATTTTTGCCTGTGAAGGCAAGGACCCTTGACACTGGCACGTAACACTACCAAAGTAAATAAAGTTTGTTTTATCCCTAACTCAGTCTTGGCTCAGGATTGGTCTGTAAACAGGAGACGACTCATTTGGCCTGGTTTGTAGGGCCACAGTTGTATCCTGATTTTTTTATCTACCATGTTATATAAACTCTATGAAAGTAAGCCCCCAAATTTGATGATTTTTATCTTCCTCCAATTTTCTACTGAATGAAAATAAATTTTGGATGGTGGAAAAAGGGGGCGGGGGGAGGGGGTGATGTCTTTCCAACACAGATACATAGGCAAATGTAGTGCCCTATGACAGCACTTTCAAGATCAGGTCTTAGAGAATGAATCAAGCTGCTAAGAAGGAGACTTAAGTGTTGTAAAAGGAGGTGAGAGGTCACTAGACACAAAGTTTATTTCCACGTGATGTTACTAAAATTAGAAACTTTGCAATGGTGATTTGTGAAGCTGTTAGCCTCACTGTAACAATCAATGGAGAAAGTAGTTACACACACCCTTGTAATCACAAGTGTTTGCAAAAGGAAGCAGATTAATCATTCTTGAGAAAAGAAGGAAGTTAAAAATAAACTTTCAGACCTCATCGTGTTCACTCACTGAGGATGCAGAATATATGACAGCACCATTACTGTAATTTTATGCAGCAGACGATGCAGAATTTTATCCCAAAGTTTTTTGAGATATACTTCTAAAGAACATTTTCCTGAGGACTTTTGGTTTGCCAGCTAAAGCTTACCAGTTTTACCTTTTCTAAGTTAGCTCCCTTCTTCCTTAATTGAATTATTTATCCTTCAGCATTGGCAATTTATCTTTCTTGCAATTTTTTAATACCCTGTCTTTTCTGTCTTCTTTCAGCCAGTTGGGTGTAGAAGGAGCTGAAATGCGAAAAAGACAGCAATCACAAAATGAAGGAACACCTGCTGTGTCTCAAGCACCTGGAAACCAGAGGCCCAACAACACTTGCTGCTTCTGCTGGTGCTGCTGCTGCAGCTGCTCCTGGTAGGTCCCTGCCCTGCCTGTGCTAGGGGATAGCTGGAGTAAGCATGCGTGCAAAGCCTTCAGCTTGTAGAAGCCTCTCAACATGTCTCATTTCCTCCTTTCCAAGGAGTAATTATTGAAGACCATCATTGATTTAATAAAAACATTCCTCAAGAAAAGTATTAAGCTCTTCTGAACCTACATTTAAGTTCATGGTAAAGATGACAAATGACTTATGTCATATTTTTCCTCCATGCATGCTTCTAAAAGATATGGATAAAAATAAGATTATACTTATATATTTATCTGTCAATAAACAGTATTCTCCAGAGTCATGATAGTATGAAATTAAGATATTATAATATCTGCTGCCAGGTGTAGTGACAAACATTTGGAATCACAGCTACTTGGAAGGCAGAAATAGGGGGATCTTAGCTCAAGGTCAGCGTGGGCAGAATTTAGTGAGATCCCCTATTTCAAAAACCAGCTGGGCATGGTAGCACACCTCCAAGCTCAGACACTTGGGAGGGAGAGGTAGGAGGTTCATCGTCTAAAGCTGGCCAGGCACAATCACAAGACCCTACAAAAAAAACCTAAAAGGCAAAAGGAACTGAGGGTGCGGCTCAAGGAGTAGAGCACTTGCCTAGCAAGCATGTACGCTGATTGCAATCCCCAGTACTTCCAACTTTAATAATATTAATAATAATATTAAAGGCAGTTTTTTTCATCAGGTGCTTCCTCACAGGGTGTTGACCATTCAGGTGCCTAGCCAGGAAGCTGAGTCCAGGCACAACCTCAGCTACAGAACCCCTCCCAATAAACACAGAGAGAGACGAGACAGAGATTCATGACCACCAATGTTAACATCAGAGGCTATGCTTGGAACAGAGGCCAAGTTAATTAGCTAAAACCTCTGAAATTAGAGTCAGAGGACCTGGTTTTATTGCAATTTTATGACTGACAGGCTATGGGACATCTTTGTTCTTTGATTTCCTCATTGGGAAATTGATGATGGGCGTTGACTCCCAAGGTCCAGTCTAGTGCTGAATGTCCATTGGTCGGATACCTTATAGAACCTTTCCAGGTCCAAATTCCCAAAGTGAGAAAAATCGATATGACCAAAGGCCATGAGGTTTCTTCAAGTGAGATACCTCAAGGGGATGTTGGCCTTAGTAGAACTTTCCTTTGGACTGTAAGGGAGTCCTTTAAGATTCAGTTTACAAGTTGATCTGTACTAGCAGTGGTCATCTAGTGCTACCAACCTATTTTAAAACCTTCTTGCAAGGCCCAAGTGACTGAATTGTCTTCTTGTGCATGGCCTGTACAGTTTTCCAACATCCACTGAGGTTGGTATTTTTTGTTGATTTGTTTATTGTTTTTGATATGATGACATTCATTGTAACCAAAATAGAAGATGGAAAAGTGTTGTGCTAGATTAGTTCTCTTGATGATGAGTAGGCTCACCCAATATAGAAAACTACAGGCCCAGAAAACCTCAGAGAGTATAGTAATCTGGAATGTTTCAAGTAGCTCTTATGTATACAAAAACTGATTTCTGGATGAAGATTTTTGTTAGGAAAAGTCATACATGATTTATTTGCTTTCATTTGTAAGCCTTAACAATTTCAGATGCAGGAAATGGAGTTCTAGCTGAGGTAAGTATCTCAGCCACAGTTTACACAGATTACAATGTTGTGTAATCTCTTATCACTCCTATGGAGATAGTCTATTGCTGCTCTTAATCCATGAAATACTGTGTACAGACTTAATATGGTCAGACTGTTGGTGTTCAAATCTTGCCCTTATCTGTCACTAACTGTGTAACCTATAGCAAGTTAATTAATCTCTCTGGTCCTGAGGTCCTTTATCTATCAAATACCAATAATATAAACCCACTAACTCATAAGTTTGTTGTAAAACTAAATGAGATATTGTACATGGTGAGCTGAGAATGGTATCTGAGACAGAGTTAGCATTTTATAAGTGCTGACTCCCCAGACTATGGACTACTTCATATTGAAAAAGTAGAATTTTCTTTAAAGAGAATCATGTAAAAAAATTCTGAAAGACAGCTTTAAATATAACACACAACTTATCTTGAAAAAGAAAGCTATTTTATTTTAAACTCTAAATAAAGCATTGCAAATGCATGGTGACACAGTGTTAAGGAATATACATCTCCCTCTCATTTGCACTGTGCCATGCTCCTGTAACCAAATATTATTTTATTGACTGACCAAATCTTATTTCTTTTACTTGTTCAGGATTAGAACACTGAAAAGGAATACTGAAGTTGTGTTGCACTGTTAGCTGCCAAATGAATACAGTTTACATCAATTAACAGTCAGGACATGTTCTGAAAACTGCATCACTAGGCAATTTTCTTGATATGGGAACATCATAGAGTGGACTTAAACAAACCTAGATGGTACAGGTCAGTCTCTTGATGGCCTTGCGATTTATCAAGAGACTTGGTAAATGTGAGGTGGACGAGGTTGCTGCCAGTGTAACACAGCAGCCTGTTCTACAGTCAACATTTTTTATAAGTAGAAGGAGTCCACTCTAACAATAAAAAGCCTACTACAGTAAATATATAATCTGAATGATTGCTTACTATTAAGAATTGTGGGGCTGGCAAAGTGGCACAAGTGGTAGAGCATCTGCCTAACAAGTGTGAGGTCCTGAGTTCAAAATCCTGTACTGCAAAAAAAAAAAAAAAAAAAAAAGAATTGTGTACATGCATGGCCATATTTGCCATGCATGTACCACTGGCCACGCAGTGGGTTTGTCTACACCAGCATCACCACAAACTTTGGGTAAGGTGTTGCACCACAACTTCACAACATCTGTGATATCACTAGGAATTTTCCAACTCATTGTAATCCTATATGATCAGAGTTGAACACAGTCTGTCATCAACCAAAACATCATAAGGTGAATAGCTGTATGTAGTAGGACTTGTTTTTATCTATGAGATAGACATTTAGTGAGACTTGCTTTTACTAATTTTTAAAGAACTCACTAAATAACAAAATGTTCAAATTAGCTCATCAGCATCAAAATGTCACAGAACACAGACTGAGGATCAAGAGTGAAACAGCTTTTAGAATCTACATCACCTTTCCCCATGTAGGGTGACACTTTGGATCCCCAAACACATGGTGCACTGCCTGCATGCTCTATTCACCCAAACTAGAGTGTGTTTGTGAGGAACTTCACTTTATCAACAATGGGACATAGATACCTGAACTTAGGCATTGGGATGTATAGTCTATACACTTGCATGTCCTTCTGTATAACACAAGAATTGTCTGTGTCAAACAATTTCCAATGTAAACAATTTGGAGATTTTTGAAAAGGATGAAAGTTAAATTGCCTTGAACCATGGATTTTAACTATGACTATGTCCAGTTGCAAATGAAGGTATACATTACACATGCACTTTGAAAATACCATTATTTTGTACTTTGAGTTTAGAGAAAAAAATTGTAAGGGCTTTTTGCAGAGAAAAAAAATATAAAAAGAAAGAAATGCTCTTCAAATTTTCCAGGCTAGGTCAAAGGAGCAGAACAAAAAGAAACTTGAAAAAATGTAATTTAGAGACTAAAAAAAAGTTTGAAATCAAAATATGAAGCAATCATCATTTGTGAATGGGAACAGTTGTCATCTGTCTGGTTTTATTCCTTTTAAGGAAATAGTGTCAAGAAAATGAATTTCTATATCTAGTAATAAATGTAAGTACCTCATCCTGGCCTCGCATGGGATGAACATTTAAAACTACGACATTTCTCTTGAACTTGCATTTCTCATTTGTACTTTGTTACCAGGTCATCTCATTTTATAATCTATCCCTATCTTTATAAAATTGCTGCTACGTTTTAGTTTGGGGAAGAATACAGAAAGCAGGTATATTATCACTGAATAATCCCACAGTTTCCTTTAAAACCTAAAGTTTGGATATGTATCACAATGACTATTATGCTGATACATTCTCTAGACCTGTCAAAAAGCCACTTTCTTCTTTAAATCAGTGTCTGTCTCATCTCTTCTCCATTTCAGGAAGAAAAGACAAGAGAATGAGGTGTAGACCATTTAATTGTCTTACATACATGAGTGATGGGTGCCTGAATCACAGCTATAAAATGGACAATCCACATATGTACAAAAACTTTCTTTATATGAGACTGAGCTGATTCTGACCAGGTGAACAGTTTGGCCAGACCACTTGTCTGGAAGTTCAAAGTTGACACTGGCAAATAGAATAACCTGTCTCTTCCAGTGGTTGCCATCTTGCCTAGACCTTATCTGAAAGAAGCTTCAGAAAGGTGCTGGGGTCTCACCATCAGCTGGTGTCAGGACAGCATGAACTAGTGAGGTTGTTTAGATACTCAGGCTGGAGACAACACATGTACAGGTGCACTGCAGACTAGAAACCGCTGAGTGCTCGTAAAACAAGGGGCAACAAAAAGAAGATAAGAAAACGGAGATTTCAGAATTTGGGTTTAAGTTAAAGTCCCAATTGTCCTATGAATGCTCTCATAATATCAAAGGTTAATCCAGGCTAAAAGGGCACATGTTTTCTCTCATATGTGGAATTTGGACCTAATACAAATACAAGAAATATTATGAAAAACATTTCACACTAAGGGGAGGTCACATAGAAGAGGGAGGGTGAAAGAAGGAAGATAAGAAGGTGAATATGGTTGATGTACTTCCCATACAATAATGAATATAGAATTTTTAAACCTGTTGAAATCACCGTAAGAAGGGGACTAAGGTAGAATGGAGAAAAATAGAGGAGACAAACCAATTTGGGTTATAATACATATATACATGGAAATGTCACAAGAAAACTCCCTATATAGTTATCTTAAGCAAACAAAAATGTCACTTTTTTTTCTTGTACAAAATCAGAGAACAGGAGGGCAGAATAGGTTCTGCCTGGGAGAGGGGTGTTGGTATCAGTGAGAAGGGGGAAGGTGTGAGGAAAGGGTGTGGGAGGGTGAATGTGGTGCAAATAC